ATGGATCCATGTGACGAACCAACGAACTTTCTTTCAGTAGAATTCAACACGGGTATATATATATATATATATATATATATATATATATATATATATATATATATATATATAGAGAGAGAGAGATAGCCACTACTACTAATCTAAATGCAAAAGCTTAACCGTTTCTGACTTACTCAACAGGCAAGTAACACCTTTTATAAGTGTAGAGAGGTTCGCCTATCGTCTGGTTCACACTCCTCCGATGTTTTATGAACAGGAGTAGAGGTTTATCCCTTGTTTCCTGTTTAGGACTGAGTTCTGGGTTTTTTCTTTCCCTTACAGTAGTCCATTGCGTCTTAGTGGCGCTATCGCCTTGCTTGGAGTAAATTGATTAAATATAAAAAGTTTAGATGTCTGAAATGGGCACAAATATATTATATATTTTATTTAGGGATCATGTGGAGGGGTGATGCCAAGTAACATTTGAATTTCTAGTAGAATCATGTGTTTGCCTTTCGTCAAGTTTTTGCGGGGTCAATCGCCTTGATACAAAATCTAATGGTCGGCCTGTTGCTTTTATGTATTGCTTGGCATGGTGCCTGATACAATAAATCCTAAATTCTATTTTTGATTTCCCTTCTTTGCTTGTTGTTATATTAAGCGTCTGGTGGCGAAACAAAGAAGAAGAAACAATGGAAGTTTAAGAAATAAACAATTGTATTAACAAAAAAATACAATAAATGATGAATTGGTGTAAATGTCTCTCGATGAAAGAAAGAGATAAGTAGAATTGTAAAAGTCGTCCGCAGAGGCGTACGGCAGGAGAGGGAGGGTTAGTTGTGTCTTACTGCGGCGTCGGCCTTTGACGAGTTTTCTTAGGAGATGGGAGGCCGTGTTCTGACGAGCGTGTGAATCCTGGCTGTTGTGCCGTCCGACTGCCAAAGATGTCCCTCCGATGGGCTTTTATATCCTTTTCTTAGGCTCAAATAGGCTCCAAGTTTTTATTTTGTTTCTTTAGGCGAGAGTGGTTGCTATTACGTGGAAATTCTGGATTGTATTTTTCTTTGAGTGTGTAAGTCAAACGGAAGCTATGTGCGGAGCCAATGCGCACTTGACTGAATTATTAGTTCAGTCTTGGATTTAGGAGCGTTCACATCTGGCCAGTGGTGGAAATTTGTGTAACATAAATCAAAAGAAGATCTGGTTTTAGGAAGATTATAACATTGTCATATCCCGGTAATGTCTTTATTTCTATTAAATACGTCATTTCCAATGAGGTTAAGTCTAATCCTAATTCATTGTCGTGAGATTTGCGATCTTGAGTCAAAATTAATGACGTTAATTCTCCCCAACATATTTATTGTACTTGTAAGATAATAATCTTTGCTTGAAAAATGAAAAAAATATATACTTCTTTGAATATTTACAACAGTAAAAATGACATTGAAGCGTTAAACTGAATGCTTTTAGTTCTAAACTTTTGTTTTTATAACCTTGTGAATAGTTTTAATTTTCAATTTGTAATAAGATCTTTTCTTAAACGATTTGACAAACGTGTCTGTACTTTTGGGATATGGGTTATACAGTGATTCAGCTAAACTTAGTCTGGCATAAGACCAAAAATGCATTAATCACCCAGTTTAGGAGTCATGTAGAGAAAGTCGACAATTAATATTTATTTGATAGTCCATTTAAATTAACCATCAGTCCCTAACAAAATTCGATAAATATTTTTACCATTTCAAAATAAATCAGTACAGTACTTCCGATCCCTATTTCCCGGACCTCGATTATCCGGACTTCAATTATTTGGACTTCGATTATCCGGACTTGAAATGGAGAGACAATCTGAAATAATCCGAACATTTTTCACCTAGAAAACCACACCTAACATTTGATGCCCCACCTCACTAAAAAAAAAAAAAAAAAAAACGCTTGTTTCAATTCGTGTTAATTTCTTAGTTGTCAGAACATACATTTGAATTATCGTAGCTTGGTCACACTCAGATGCGCGTGATACACTTGAACTATGCGCTTCAGTGGGGACTGAATACGAAATAGAACGTCTTTTTGTCTGCCGACCACGTGGCAAAGTTGAAATTGTAACTGTGCCGTTGAATATATAAATGGTGAAGAGGAGGCCACCTCGCCGTGGTGTAATGGTTAACAAGCATGTCTCGCTAAAACAGTTACGACTGAGTAGTGAGTTCGATCCTCACATACTTTTCGGCCTTCTAAGCCGTGCTTAGAAAATCACTGTAAATGGTGAAGAGGATGATGATGATGATAGTTCAACAGCCTCGGTGACGAATTTCAAACACCGAAATAATGATTGCATTTCACAAATGTTTATGTTGGTTTCGCTTTCAACCGGAAGCTACCCTTTACGAATACATCTACTTTAAACCAGCTTCCGGTGTTAGCGCCAGAAAAACGTGAGGCTAGTCGGGAACTGACAAAAAAAATTGACGCATTTTTTTTTCATCAAAAATAAAAAGTGACAAAACCATGAACAAATCATTTGAAAATGGTATTTGATGATATAATTCTTAAATTTCTATCAGAAAACAACTTTCTTCATTATTTTTCGATAATTTTGTTATTTCAATTATCCGAAATTGTGAATAATCCGAACATATTTATTCAACTCCTATTCTAAGGTGTCTGGGTAATTGAGTAAGTGCTGAGTAATCGGGTTGTCTGAGTAACCGAATAAGTGCTGAGTAATCGACGTGTCTGGGTAATCGAGTAAGTGCTGAGTAATTAAGTAAGTTCTGTGTAATAGAGGTGTCTGGCTAATTGAGTAAACGTTGAGTAATCGAGTAAGTGCTGAGTAATCGAGTAAGTGATGGGTAATCGAGGTGTCTGGGTAATCGAGTACGTGCTGTACAATGGATAAACAGAATAGTGTTAATGTTAATTTAATATTTATGGTTCAAATAAAATAGCTAAGATACAAAAGGGAAATTAAATTTGTGCAATTTAATATCAGTTGACAGAGTTTTATGAAAAACGAATATTCCTTTCAGATGCTTGAGTTCAAATAAAGTTTTGTATGTATGTGTGTAAAGAGAGAGAAGAGATTTACATTAACAGTGTGAGAAAGGATATCGTTCACTGATTGGTGGAACTGGGATAGACTATTGAAGACAGCTCCTTTGGAGTTGCTGGTAGCTGAAAATGAAATTCTGTTGAAAACGAGTGCGTCTACCGAATTATTCACTGTCTACCATTGATTATATTTCTTTTAAGTGTTTCAGAGGTTCGAACTTTTCAACATTAAAAGAGAGAGATTCGATTAGATTGCTTTGTTATTTTCTTTCTGTGTCATGTTTCTATACCACATATGTAGAGAAAAAAGGTTTCGATGAAACTGATTTTGTAATTTTCAGAATGGAAGGCACGAGCGTTGTTTCTTGTGCGTGTGTGTGTGTGTGCGCGTGCGCGCATGGGTGTAGGGGTGGGGGCATAGACACTGTCGGAGTTACCTCCTCCTTCCATCCTTGAACTGGCGGAGGAACAGGTACCTTGACCTCTCATTCATGCTCCTTACACACCCTTAACACGTCAGAGGGACCAGCAAATCCTTTTTAGTTAGGCTATATTACAAACCTTGTAATATACATCTAGTCATTTTAGACCATAGTTATCTTTAGCTAACCTTGTAGTATTTTTTTATAGAGACTTTTCGGTTAGCTTAGCCAATTTCTCTTGCTGGTCTCCCTCGACACAAGACAGTGATTTCTCCCAAGCTTAGCGGAGGCTGTCGGCGGCCGCAACGGTCGTCTACGCAGGCCCCTTGGCCATCATTGGCCAAGGGCGCCGATCTACGGGCTGTGTATTAAGGTACGCTCCATTTCTTTTTTGTCTGCCAACTTGACGATAGTTGGGAACTTTCTTTCTCTCTTTCCTTCCCAACACGTCAAGTTGGCATCCCGGCAATGACAAACAACTTTGGCAACACGAACTACAGCAACAATTTGGCACCCCGGCAACGACTCATTCAACAACCAACAAAGTCATCCTATCCTCAACATCAACAACCACCAAGCGATCATCCTGGCAACAACCCACATCAGCTTCAACCCCCTACAACGATGATCCTAGCAACTGCCAACCTCGACCATCAATGCATGCACTAAAACTTCTGCATCCAGCACTCCTGCAGCTTCCAGCTCACTCTGCAGCCTCCAGAACTCCCTGCAGCTTCCAGCTCACTCCTGCAGCACTCCTGCTGTTTCCAGGTCACCCTGCAGCTTCCGGCTCACCCCTGCAGCATCCGGCTCCTCCTGCAGCTTCCGGCTCCTCCTGCAGCTTCCAGCACCTCCACCGTTTCTGACCATCTTCATTTCCTTTTCCTTTCAGAATAAACCTCTATATATCGTATATATCCTCGTTCTGTCGTCCATATTGTTTCACGGTCAGATTTAACGTCTTCAAAAATGTTACGCAACCTCTTTTCATTCACCCCTTTCCGTGATACGTGGACCGCCCGCTACAAACAATGCACCTTGCAAATGGATATTTCCCGATTCGTTTTGAAGAGTTTGACTTAATCTGACACCAACAAGAAATATTTTTTTTCTAGAAGATTGATTTCTCTTAAATTCGTCTTATGTTTTTACGGTTTCAAAAAACGCAACTATTTTCATCATCATCATCAATGAGGTTTCCCGATTCATCTGCTTATTTTTTTTTCTGGTCAAATGTTTTAACAAAAACACCATCATCATGCGAAACCTTTAACATGCGAAACTAAAGTTTTGCTAACAACTTCTCCACAACAAGCGACCGTTTAAGACTGCAGATATCTGCAAAACTTAAACATACTTAAAGTCATATGATGTGAAAGCATTCGGTCTTTTAAAAGACTGAATTACGCCAATCTATCTTAGCATCTAAAACAATCCCGCGTACCAAGAAGAAGTTATCTCCCTTGGATGTTCGCCATATTATCAACAAACATTTCATCATTTTTGTGTCTGTTGCGATCCTGAAAGGTTCGTGTAATGGTAGTCAATATGATTCGCTTTTTGGATGTGCTACCTCGAGGTATTTATTCATTATTTTTATTTGAGGCTTCTTCCAAACAAACAATTTATTTTTTATCACATTTTCTACAATGTTGTCTAATTATTTAATTAGAAATTCCTAACAGATTTTTTTAAAATTTTCTCAACCTGGGATTTCATTTCCCAAAGTGGGGTCGCGACCTTCGATGGGGTTGCATAAAAATTCAATGTAGACGGTGGATTTTTTTTTAAATTCTATATTATATTATAAATTTAAGATGATATTTGCTGGTTATTGTAATTTTTCCTGAAAATATATATATATATATATATATATATATATATATTACCGATTGTTCATTTAAAATTTAAGCAAATCTACAAATTTAAAATAAACATTTAAATTAGTTAATTTTTAGCATGCAGAAAAATTCCGTAAAGTTACTTAAAAAACTGACAAAACGTCATGAATTTTAGTTTTAAATTTATAATGTTCCTGTTTCCCTGCTTCTATTCTGCAAGTGCTCGATTTGTGCCATGCGTTGTTTTGTTTTTTAATTTGCAATTTAATTTTCAAATTTTATCTTATTTTCTTCGATTAAAAAAAACAACCTGACATCAAGTCCCACCTGTAAAAGTTCTTGAGACAAGAATAGGGGGAAAAAAACATGTTATCGTGTTTTCTTTTGGGTCAAGAAGTCAAGAAATCTGTTTCTTCAGGAACTTTTTTAAATTTAAACTTAAGTTAAAACTAAAAGTTTGTTGATTAATTATTAAATCAATCACTTCAAAGCGGATTTTAAATTAGATAAAAAATTTACATTAGTTAGAAATTAACAAGAGTAATTTATTTCGTATCAAACTTTGTATAACAAATTTAAAGTCGTTTCAAAATTGTTGTTTTGTAAAAAAAATATGTAGCATTTTAATTTTTAAAATAACTATTTTTTAGTGGTTTTTACTAAAAAAAATCACTTTTTATTTATTATAAAATTATTTGTTATTCTCTAAATGCTTAATTAGTTACAATATGGAAATTAATTGGAATATATTTCGTTCGTTTTTTTTAAAGTTTTAACTTGTAACAAAAATAAAATTACTGTTTTCTTAGTGAAGTATTGGAGGTACCTAAAACCTACCCTTACTTTTAGAAAATCCAGTTAATTAATAATCCTTAAATTTAAGACTTCGAACGAAATCACGAGGAGAAAAATTGGATTTTAAAGAGAATTTTAAATTTGTTTACTTTACTTTTTCTTTTCTTTTTTTCAATGGCGAGACAATGAGTTACGTAAAAAGAAAAAAAAAAAAAAAACGTGGCAAGGTTTTAAAAAAAATTTCGAAAAAAGTTTATACGGAAATTAATTTTTTTTTTTTTAATTTTAGCCTAGGCTTTTAGAACTGAAATTTAAGTTTAAAGAAGGCATTTAAATTATTTAAAATTAATTTTTCGGTTTTTTTTTTAGAAAGTCCATGGCGATACATAAAGAACTTATGATTTTTTTTCCAAGCATAGCTTTGATGTGGCACGAAGCCGAAAGTGTGGATCGAACTCGCTACTCAATCGTAATTGTTCTAGAGCGAGACAAGCTTGTTAAACCATTTTTACACCACCTCGAGGTGCCCCCCGACCCCCTAAAGAATTTATAACTAGGTTGCGCAACAGGCTAGTGTCGAAAAATCGAGAAAATAAGCCCCCTAAATTCTATTATTTCTCATCTTAGGCTGTTTTTAATTTAATTTTTATTTAATGCCATAAGACATAAGTTAAGTGTTCATTACTCTCCACTCTATTCAGTCTTCAGATATTTTTAAACCTGTGATGACTTCCTGGGGGAAATACGGTGAAATGGTTTCACGCTGCCTTATCTACGATTTTGAGTTCCGATTTGGCCTTCTTCTAGACAAGCTGCCACCGAAGGCTACTGAGGGGAAAAGGAGTTTCATGCCTTTCAAGGGCATTTGTACGAAGGTGAACCCAACCAATTAGAGATTATATTAATGATGTTTTTTTTGGTTTTTTTTTTTTAAATTTAATGACCTAGAATTTAAAGTTGGTCATGATTAATTTAATTAAGTTTGGGAAAGTGTAAAGTGACAAAATCTGATCTACTTTTTAGTGTGAATTTATTTATTTATTTTTTTACATACAGATTCAAATATTTTGTTTTCGTTTGTTTACTTTATTTTTTTTTTTTGAAAATCAAAATATTTTGTGTATGAAGATTAAGTAAAAATTCTTTTTTTTTTTTTTTTTTAGTTTGACCCAGCTCACTTTGTAAACATTTTTTATTTTTAGAAAATATTCTTTTTTTTTTCCCCCCTTGAAGTTTAGAAATTTTAGATGACAAACAACATAGTTAAAAAAAAATGTTGTTTGTGGTTTTTGTTTCACTTTGAGGGACTCACTTAGCATATCAAAACAAAATCTTATCAAACTTGAAAAGAATTTAGGTCCTCGAATGTACCAGAAAAAAAAAAAACCCAAAAAACAATAGACGTTATTTGCAAACTCTCCCTTCTCAACTTCGACTTTTAATTAACCTTTTTAGTCGATTTTTCAGATTTATTATTGTGATTATCATTCATTATTTCTTATTGTTTATAACTTGTACTTCTGGTGTGTGTGTCATGCTTGGTATCACAGATAGAAAGGATTTGGGCGGAGGCCATCTAAAAAAAGATGGCAGTTGTTTGTAGTGACCGACCTGATTTAGTAGTGATTACTTGTTTTGTCTATTTCTTGAGTAAGGCTGTTGTATGAAGATGATGATGGCTTATTTACAATTTATAAATTTAATCATGAAGCTGTTGATGTGCATCAAATATTCACTTTGTTTCTATTTCTAAAGTTGTTTGTTGTGACTTGGAGTCATTTTTCAGTATTTATCTTTAAGATGTCACTTTTCTTAACTATCTAATGATCATGAACGGAATAGTACAGAGAGCAGCATTAAAAGATTATTAGTCGATATATAATTTTTTACATTTATTATTTTTCTTGAGTAAGAGACGGCATGTCAACAATGATGTTGATGTATAAATTTAAAATAAATTAAAGCTTAAACCCTATGAAACCCTTCATGAAACCCAGTTTGATAAGCGTATATGATGCACATGCATTACACTTACAGCCAAATGTGTATGATATGGTAACAGATTTAAATATTACCACAACATTTTGTTTTTTTTGTGCCCTCCTGGAATTTTAAATGGAATCCTGTATTTAATCAGGATGGGGGGTAAATTGTTCCTATTTAAATTTTTATGTCTAGGGATATATATTTTATTTTCTGCTCAGTTATTGCTTGTATCGTTTCCACAGAGCTTGAGTCTGTATTGAACTCAATTACTATGCCATCAAATCCACAAAAGGAGTCATCTGTAGCCAGGGTCATCAAGTCCTTGTGTACGATTCTTTTCTTAGCTGCATAGTATATGCTTTGCTGGGGCGACATACAGTTTTGAATTCAGGGTTTTCCTTCTCTTAGACTGGTTGCCACCCAAGGCTATAGAACCCAGTCTGAAATACTATTTACCCATAGCTAGAGGGAGAAGAGTTGGATTCATACCTTTCCCAGGGGTCTTATTACATAAGTGAATGTAACCAACCTAACTGGAATTTGAACTCAGATCTCTGATTCCTCAATCCAAACCACTATCCATTACTCTACTGTTCTTCCAAACATACAAAACAATCTTTTAATCCTCTGTGCTTTTGTTCCAAATTATGGCAAGCATTTTTTTTTCTTTTACTCAATTCACCCCAGGTAAGGTCATAATGCCACTAAGATGTAAGGGACTACCGGGGATGAAAGAGAATGAGAAGACTTTAGAAGGAAGCAGAAGTTCAATCCTAAACAGGGAAGAAGAGGTAAACCTCTACTCCTGTTCAAAAGAGGGGGAGTGTGGGCTGGATGAGAGGTGAACCTATCTATTCCTATTAAGAAGGAAAAATGAATAAATAGTAAATAAAATTTCAGAGTTTGGACAAATGTTAGAAATATCGAGTTGAAGTAGACTTTAGAAGGAACCAGAAACCTAGTCCTAAACAGGGAACAAGGGATAAACCTCTACTCCTGTTCAAAAGATTGGGATCATTCATAAGAATTTACTAAAACATAAACAAATATAGGACCTTTTTCAATGGAAGAAATATCAGTTTTATCAAAATAAGCCTCAGACTCAATATATAGGCCAACATCAAGTGCCTTGGGAAGGTAATGCTGTCCTGGGTCAAGAGGGTGGCAGCTGGAATAACTAGCTGCTGGCTACATAACTCCCCAGTCTGCAACTCCCTTGATTATTATATGTGGTGTGCAGTTGAGTGAGAGACCAACAAAACCCCTTTTTAACAACAAACATGAACTGAAGGCAAGGAGTATGGCAGCGATCACCAGCTTAAACAAGGAGACCGTCCAGAAGAGATGCAGGAGTCTTCAGGAAGTTGTGGGCAAAGCTAATGGTGATTTCATTGAATAAACTTACTGTTTAGTATTTCAAGATATTTTTGTGTAATTTATATAAATATATCTTAAAATGAGATGTCAAGTGTTATTTTCCTTTTTGCATAATTTAGACAACAATTTATCCCTTGTACCCTGTGTACAGCACTGTAACACCCACTCATCAATGTACATACATACTGTTGTGTCGGAAACCTACCACCCCTCTTGAAGATGAACTTGTCTGTGTCTGTGAACAAAGACTTTAAATAATGGAAGAGAGATAGACAGATAAGTTCTTAGCTGAACTAGTTATTGACTACTCAGGCGATTTCTGTAGCTTTTTACCAACCTATTAAAACCCTTTTATTTGTTATGTGTTATTTGGCGTTTGTCTCTACTAACCCCAAATCAACATCATGACACATACATACACAAACATTAAGACATGTTTCGTTGTATAATTTAGACATATTCTGTCTACTTATTTTTGATATGATCCTTTCATACTTGTGGATAAGTTTTTTTTTTTTTTATGTCATCATTGAAGGACAAGAAAAAATTGCCATGTTTATACATATTTGTTTTATTTCCA